AGCTGTATGGACTTTCTGTACTAAGGCTGTGGTTGCAGTAGCAAGTGATCCTATAATTGTAATGAGTGCAGTTATGCCTAAGACTAATTCTGCTACAAATCTTTTTGAGCGTGTTAAAGTGTTGGTAATTTTTCTAATAGCTTGTAACCCAGAATCATCATACCATGGCATATGCAATTGTACAGGTAACATTAGATAAGGAGGCTGCTTTACAATAAAATTGTCTGAATAGATAAGCTAGAATCAATACATATGGTTAAAATACATTTGTGACAGGAAACAGTGAAGATGGTTTCATTTGTCGTCATACCTAGGTTACTGTGATAATCTTTTTGTAGAAAGACATATGGGGATGGTAGACAAGCTCTAATATGATAAGTTTCTTTGCCATTAGGTGGGGGCTGGGGTCTATAAAGAGTTATAGGCGCCGTGGCAGAAATTGTTCTCCACAAGTGATGCTGAGTATACTAGCTGTAATATTGGAGGCTATAGTATATAAGCCCAATGAATTTGCGGTAAAGCGAAAGTTAAAGGTACCTGACAAGCAATGATAGCGAACATAGCAATAAACATAGTGGATGGAGTGCACATGGAGCCTTGTTCCTGTAGAAGGTTGCTGGCCTCTTCAGTCAAGGGATTTCAGCTGTCCCCAAGTCGAAGGTTTGGTTGTTCTTGTTGATCTGGCTAGTGGGCGGCATTGTTGGCGACAGGCTTCCCGAAGTGTCAGCACGTTGAACGACTGGATCAACGAGTCCATCAGGGCCGTGCTTGATGGTTGTGTTGGTGTCCGGGGAGGAGTCAGCTGTGCCCTCTGTGTCAGCCAATATGGATGATAGGGGGAGGAAGAAAATGAGGCTGAGGCGGAGGGCGGTGTGACATGAGGTCAGACTAGATGGTCTGGAATCCACACAAGTGAGTCTGCGTCCTGTGAAAATATACAAGCATATCCTCTCCCCCAGGCTAAAAGTACATCAGGTCCCTTCCAGGCTCCTGTAAATAAGTCTCTCCATTTGACGAGGGCTTTAGGTTTAAAACATCTGCTCCTGTATCCAATATACCTTCAATTGGTTTTCCCTGAATTTGTAAAATTTTTGTAGGTCTAGTAGCATGGATTTCTTGTATCCAAAATGCTGCATCACTAGATCCAAAGCCTCCGGCCCCTCTAGCTTCCTGGGTAACAGCTGTCCCTATTTTATGTATTGGTAACAGGAGTAATTGGGCAATTCTCTGGTTGGGCTGAATCTGTATAGTTGTGGTGGGTGGGGAAAGTAAAATCTGTATTTCTCCTGTGTAGTCTGCATCAACAACTCCTGGGATGACTAAGATCCCCTGTAACGAGGTGGAGCTCCGCCCTAATATTAATCCTACAGTTCCCTCAGGCAGCGGCCCAGACACTCCTGTAGGAATGGCTGCTACTGGCGAGTCTGGGGTTAGTATTGCGTGGGTGGTTGAATGGAGGTCCAATCCTGCACTGCCTGGGGTTGCCCTGAAGAGGTCATTGATTGATTGAAATTTGCAGCAGAGGGGTTGAGGGTTGATGCCCCTATTATTGCAGGGGCCTGAGGCTGGCCCCCTCTCAAGTTTCCCAATTGAGGTGATGGGATATAACCTCCTTGGGAGCGGTTTGTAGAATTTAAAGGCCGACCATTTTTATGGTATTTTGATCTACATTCCTTTGCCCAATGGAATCCTTTCTGACATCGGGGACAAACGGTTTTTGGAGGATTAATATTATTCCTTGATGTATTTCCAGGCTGTCGAGGAGCTTGCCATCTGGCTTGAGTATTATTATTTCTATTTGGGCATTCTCTGCTAAAGTGCCCAGATAAGCCACAAGAGTAGCAGTTCATATTTCTTTTATTACCTGTATTATTGCTGGCTTGACCTATGCCCTGTACATATTGAGGGTATGTCTCCCCTTTGAGAGCTGCAGCTATAGCTACACCCTGTATAAATGCTGGACTTACATCAGCACACTGTTTTATAAAATCATTTATAGTTCCCGTTCTGCGAATTGGCCTTAATAAAGCCTGACAGGTATTATTAGCATTTTCAAAAGCCAGTTGTTTGATTAGGATATCGGCTGCCTCTTCGTTATTGATTACTCTCTTGACTGCCTGTGTGAGGCGAGAAAGGAAATCCTGATATGGTTCCTCGACCTTCTGTTTAACCTCTGTAAGGGTGGTTGTTTTTCCTGCTGTATAAGGTAGGGATTTCCAGGCATTTACTGCACAACTGGTTACTTTAATAAGTGCCTCTTTGGGCATATACATTTGCTCCTGAGCCGTGTTAAAATCACCTTCTCCTAATATCATGTCTAGGGTTATTCCTCCTCTGGAATTTTTGCTAGTGGCTACAGCTCTCTTAGCAAGATCATCATATTCAGTTATCCATAATAAATAATCACCTCCTGAGAGACAGGCTTTACAAACCTGTGACCAATCATAAGGAGTCATCCATTTACTGGCTAGGGTTTCTACCAAGGTTAGTGTGTAAGGAGCTAGAGGTCCATATTCAGAGCAGGCCAATTTTAATTCTTTAAGTATTTTGTAAGGTATAGCCTCCCAGGTGGGGTTTTCGTCCTCACCAAACTCATTCTCATATGCAACTGGGAAGCAGAGTGAGAATTCAAGATCTCCACTAGCTTCAGCTTCTCTTATCGCCCTTTGAAATTTAGACATGGAGCTCATAGGAGCCGGAGGACCTGGTTTAGGCTTCCTTTCTAATTTAGGGAACCTGTTTTGAATAGGAGGGCTTTTCTCCTCTCTATTGACTGGAAAGGACCAAGGGTCATGTTTATGATACTGCACTGTTGTCTCCTCTAAATCTTCCTGATCTTGGGATGAAGGGAAATGAGGCTCATCGTATTTATTCTCCATCCAATCAGTAGGCATAGCTAAATTGCTCTTAGATTGAACTGGAGATGATAATGATGTGTCCTCTCTAGGTGGAGCTGAGGGACTATTTAAAGTTTGAGAAAGTTTAACCGTTTCTGCCTCTGGTGCCAAGGTGTCATGAATTAAATTCCTAAATTCCAGAAGGAAAAGGTATTTTCCAGGACCTTCTCAGGTCCATGGACACTGTAATAAGTCTTTAATTGCTCTCCTACTTTAGTTCATGTTTCTAGATTAACAGTTCCTTCCTCAAAAAGCCATGGACATACTTCTTGTATAAAACGTTCTGTCTGACTGGGAGTAACCTTAACTCCTCTGCTAGCAAGCATATATGTTAAAAGATCAATACAGAGTCTTTTTTCTTTAGACTCAGTATGACCCATCTTGTCAATCTAACAACTTCTCCTTGGGTTCAATAATTTTCTAGAAGGGCTCACAGAATCCAGGAAAATGGGTTAGAAAGATCATTGGTTTATTATAAAGGACTAGTGGCCCAGTGCACGGGGGTGGGGTGTGTCCCTCAGCTGGCCTGTACCCTCTCCAATCTGGGACCCCTCGGGGGATGTCTGCCGGAAGCCGGTCCATCCTTGCTGCTTGACACAGTCGCTGCAGGGAAGAAACATCTGCACAGCATATGTTTCAAGGGACCTGGTGTATATGGCATACTGTTCTCAATATGTTTGCTCCCCTTCTTAGCACTATGTGTTCTAAACCAGGGTCACCTCTCAGAGAAAGGTTGTTTCCCCAGGTGGGGATTTTTCCCTGGAGTTAGGGATTAACAGGACTAAGGAAGGGAATAAATCAATAAAACCCCTTAACTAAGTGCCAGGTAGGTAGTTAATCACCTTAACTATGAACAATCATGCTGAAGATACATAATCTTTACTTAGGATAATCTCCTTCAGTTACTTCCTTGTAGCTTAACAGAAGAGTAGAGTAGTGACCTTGGAATGGAGATAACAAACTAGCCCTAACCTTTGGAATAGAATCGATAAGATTAAAATCAACAGCTAGATAGAGATAAGACTTTTATCAAAGGTCAAATAAGAAACTATAGACATGAAACAAGGAACTGTAGAAGGTCAAGGGAGGACCCAAAACATATGATGATGTAACTATGGAGGCATGCTTATAGGATCAAATGGTATAAATATAGATGTAACAGGAGAATAAAGAGAGAATCTGGCTATGCTGATCATCTGAATGCTGTCTGTGTGTCCTTCATTCTTTGCCAACTCTGTCCACACCTTTGGGAACCCCTGGACCGCTGGGGCTGGACCCTGGCAGCAACCAATCCAAGCGTCTGTTTCACATTGATGTTTCTCTCTGTCTCTCCCCCATCCCTTCCACTCTCCCTAAAAATCAATGGGCAAATATCCTCCAATGAGGATTAACAAAAAAATCTGTGAAAATTGTCCAAAGAGCATACATCAAATTATGAAACATTTATTCCCAAAGTCTTTATTCATAGTAGAACTAATTAACAGATAAATAGTAAATTTCTTACATATGGCCAGGATGTAAACTACTCTCTAAACCCTATTCTATTTTATATTTCATGTCCATCAAATAAATATTTTATGTATTTTATTGATTTTAGAGAGAGGAAGGGAGATGGAGAGATGGAAACATCAATAATGAGAGAGAAACATTGATTGGCCACCTCCTATGCATCCCCTACTGGGTATCAAGCCTGCATATACCCTGACCAGGAACTGAGACTTGACCTCCTGGTTCATGGGCCCATGCTCAACCACTGAGCCACACCAGCCAGGCTCTAGTCTGAAAATTTTAATGAGAATCTAAAAAGAAAGTTTTATATGGTAAATTAAAGATTTTGTTCAGGAAAGTGGTTAAATGTTGATGTCCTTGTCATAGCAATATTTTTTTCATGGACTCCTTCAATTGCACTTCTGTAACTTTCTATAATAATACAAATCTTGCCCTCATCTATCTCAGTGTTGACACCGAACTTTTGGCCACTTTGGGGAATTTTATGACTCTACCTTCTGCATCAAAATAACCTGGTGAAAGTTCTTGATCTACTTAGACTGGAAATTCTAATCCATCCCATCCCCTTGCTTGCAGATAAGGGACACCCTGGACATGGCCTCAGACATCCACATGCCAGACCCGGTGTGCCTCATTGAGAACACTAACACACAATTAGTAGTTAATCCAGAAGCTTTGAAGATCCTGTCTGCCATTACACAGCCTGTTGTGGTGGTGGCCATTGTGGGTCTCTGCCACACAGGCAAATCCTACCTGATGAACAAGCTGGCTGGGCAGAAAAAAGGTGAGGGGCACCAGCTAAGCTCTGCCAGATCCCTTCTGTCTCCCCATGCTCCTTTGAGTATGTGTTACAAGAAGAGCAAGGTAGAGATGGAGAGGAACATTGAAAGCTAACTTTTAATCTATCATTATGCTCTTACCTTACTGTGGTCTGAAAGAGTCAACTCTCTGTCTCTTCCCACTTTCCTTAATTTCCCTTTTAAAAGCATAATTTGTATTATTTTCCTAGACTTCTATGCTTCATTTTTTAAAGAATCACAGTATCATTTCCCACAGCAACTCTACCATTTTACATTTGTCCCAGAAATGCACAGCACTCTAATTTCTCCACATTCTTGCCAATACCTGTTATTTTGCTGTGTGTGTGGTGTTTTTTGTTGTTGTTTGTTGCTGGAGGCTAATTCCAGCATGTCATCATTATGGAATAAGTTCATCAAAAGGTTGATGAACCTTGGGGCTTCAGCAGGGCTGAAGATCTGCATATATTATTGCCTGCTGCCAGACAGCTGAACGCAGTTCCCCCAACCTGATAATACCAAACCTTACATTTGATATATATATCTGCTTTGCTATAGGGCAAAATGTGTGAAAAACCCTGGGTCCTGGGATTTGGAGAACTTAGTCACTAAAGCTAAGCCTCATCTTGCTCCCCCATGTATTCCAAATTTATATTTCATATCTAGTCTCTTTATTAATTTACTCACAGCCCCTTCTCCAGATTCCTGAACCCTAGTATATGCCAATAACACTCCGGCAGCTTGTTTGTTTTTATTGACTTCAGACAGGGAGTGAGAGAGATAGAAACATTAATAATGAGAGTGAATCATTGATTGTCTGCCTCCTGGATGCCCCTCACTGGGGAGTAAGCTCACAACCCAGGCTGGGAATCGAACCATGACCTACTAATTCATAGGTCCACACTCAATGATGAGACACTCCGGCTGGGCTATTATATTCGGGGGTTTTTGGATAGTGATCATCCTAATGGGTGTGAAATAGCATCTCATTGTGGTTTTGATTTGTATTTCCCTGATAACTAGTGCTGTTAATTATCTTGTTATATGTTTAATGGTTATTTCTATATTTTCTTTAAGGAAATGTCTGTTCAAATCCTTGGCTCACTTTTTAATTGGCTTGTTTGTTTTCTGGGGTTGTGTTGCAGGACTTCTTTATATATTCTGGATATCAATCCCCTAACTAAGAAATATTTTCTCCCATTCAATAGGATACCTATGAAACTCTGTTGATAGTATTCTTTGACCCACAAAAGTTTTAATTTTGAACCCTTGCCAGTTTGGCTCAATGGATAGAGTGTCAGCCTGGGGACTGAAGAGTCCCCAGTTCGATTCCAGTCAAGGGCATGTACCTTGGTTGCTGGCACATTCCCAGTTGGGGGTGTGCAGGAGGCAGCTGATTGATGTTTCTCTCTCATCGATGCTTCTAACTCTCTATCCTTCTCCCTTCCTCTCTGTAAAAAAAAAAAAAATCAATAAAATATATTTTTAAAAAAGTTTTAATTTTGAATCCAACTTATCTATTTTTCTTTCATTGTTTATGCTTTTGGTGTCATATCCAAGAAATCATACCAAATTCAATATTATGATGTTTTCCCCCTATGTTTTCTTCTATGACGTTCATAGTTTTAGCTCTTACATGTAGGTCATTGAACTATTTTGGTTAATTTTTTAGAAGGAAAGTTTTTTATCTTGCACCATTGGGTGTGATGAATTTTCATATAAGGATTTTATTACATTGAGTTAGTTTTCTTCTAGTCCTAATTGGTTAATATTTTTATAATAAAAAGGTGTTGAATGTTTTTATGTATTGGATATTTTCATTTCCCTGTAAAACCAATACTGATTGTAGTTTTTTAATGTGTTTTTATTGATTTCAGAGAGGAAGGGAGAGGGAGAGAGAGTAAGAAATATCAGTGATGAGATAGAATCATTGACCGGCTGCCTGCTGTACACCCCAACTGGGGATGGAGCCCATAACCAGGGCATGTGCCCTGCTGCATAATCAAATCATGACCTCCTGGTTCTTAGGTCGATGCTCAACCTCTGAGCCACAGCAGCCAGGCTACTGGCTGTAATCTCTCCTTGCCTTGATTATGTTCACGTTTATCTCCATTTTAAGATACATCTGCTATGAAAACTCCACTCCCTCTCTCTCTTCTCCCCCTGAAGGCTTCTCTCTGGGTTTCATGGTTGAGTTTTACACCAAAGGCATCTGGATGTGGTGTGTGCGTCACCCTAAGAAACCAAACTGCACCCTAGTTCTGCTTGACACTGAGGGGCTGGGAGATGTACAGAAGGTAAGTGTTGAAGATTCAATTTGGAGACAATCCCTTCATTTCTGGGCACTGTCTACACTATTTAATATTTTTTCTTTTCTTTTTTTAAAATTTTATTATTACTTTAATTTTTATTCAAATAAGAGCTGGCATTAATCACATGTGTTGTTTTTATTTTTCATTTCTGTTTACATGCTAAGGGACCAAGTTTACAATCAGGGATCAAGAAAATATAAGGCAGAATCCTGGAAGAGCATAGAGGTCATTACATAGTATTCTAATTATTAACAAGAGACTATAAGCTAAGCCAGTTACTGCAGATGTATAAAGGTACTACAAACAAAATCAATCATGAGTCCTATCTTGGAGAGAACTTTAGTTAAGGATTAATATTCAGAAGTCCTAAACTGTAGTTTAAATTTAAATTGTCATTAATACAGTGGCCTTTGCAAATTATTTCACTTCTTTTAACCTCAGCTTTCTGATCTGTAAAACCAATGCCAACAGTCTATTTTTGCCTCATAGTATTGTTTTAACTATTGAATAAGAATGGAAAGTGTTAGGTGAATAATAAATACTAGATAAAATAGGTATAAGTATTATTACTCTTACATAAGTCATTTTGCTGTAAAAATATAGAGAAAATTAAATTACATTTAAGGCTTTGGAGTGCCCACCAATCTGGACTGTTTGTTTTGCAATTATCTGGGAATGGTCATAAGAGGACCTAGTGAGAATCAGTGTAACCAAAAACACTAATCACAAGACTATTCAAAGTCCAAGTCCTACTAACAACCATTTTCATTTGGATTTGTTTTCCTCTTATAAGATATTAATCTAAAAAAAGCCACTCCACTAAATGAGCATCCATTTACTACTGCTGATCTGGAAAGTGCCATGAGAATAAATCATAATCCTGGCCCAAATGTGTTCTGATTTCCAGGGTGACAACCAAAATGACTCCTGGATCTTTGCCCTGGCAATACTGCTGAGCAGCACCTTTGTGTACAATAGCATGGGGACCATAAACCAGCAGGCCATGGACCAACTGCAGTATCCTTTTTGTGGTCCAGAACAGCATCAAAATCAGAGGCGAGACTAGTATTTAAAAACCAGCTCCCTGAATGTGAATCAAGCACAAAAAGAGAAAGTATGAAAAATAATTCAAGGGCAGGAAGAATTAACACTTGAGTTAAAAGCAATGCCAAAACAAAGGTTTGGAATATGTGGGAAAAAATATGTGACAGAGCTGACAGATAAAATAAGGGCAAAATCTTCACCTGATGCAAATGAGGTTGAGGATTCAGCTGACTTTGTGAGCTTCTTTCCAGATTTTGTGTGGACACTGAGGGATTTTTCCCTAGAATTGGAAGTAGATGGGCAACCCATCTCAGCAGACGAGTACCTGCAGAATTCACTCAAACTCAAGCCAGGTAAAGGGGACTGAGAACTGATTATTGGGAATCATAAGCCATTAGAAACCATCATCTTTTATTTTTCTATTTAGTGTTTTTACATGGATAGTTTTCTACTTCTTCTCAGCTGCCTACTTCTAAAATTAATGCTTGTTTAAAATCTAAGATCATAGATTTTATTTTGAATTATTTTCTCCCCTATTCTAAGAACAAGTTTCTTTTTCTTTCACCTTTCTCTGTACTGTGATAAGATTGATTTTTATCTCCCTGCTTAGGGCTTGTGATGCTGTAATTAGCCAAAGAAAATAGAGTAGAATGGGCATTTATTTAAATAAAATAGATTAAAGCATGACAATGGGCTAGGCCAGGGGTTGGAAAACTATGGCCCACAGGCAAATGATGGCCAATGCAGCCTACCAGCTGTCTTACAAATAAGTTTCACTGGATGAATACTATGTAGATTGTCCATGGCTGCTTTCATGCTGTAATAGCAGAATTGAATACTTGGAAAAGAAACCACCTGACCTGCAAAGCCTAATGTATTTACCATTTGACCATTTGCAGAAAAAGTTTCCAAGCCCATATATTAAGCAATGCCCTTTTTTATCTTTCTCCAGGTACCAGTCACAAAGATAAAAATTTTAACCAGCCCCGACTTTGTATCCAAAAGTTCTTCCCAATGAAGAAATGTTTTATCTTTGATCAGCCCACTCATTGGCAGAAGATAGGCCTACTGAAGACAATGCATGATTATGAGCTGGACCCCAAATTCGTGCAACAAGCTGCTGACTTCTGTTCCTACATCTTTAGTAATTCCAAAGTCAAAACTCTTTCAGGAGGCATCCAGGTCAATGGACCCAGTGAGTCCACTTCCCAGTCATTACTCTCACTGTTAAGACTAAAGGAAAGTGGAATAGCAACCACCCAGTTTCAACTTTGAAAATTGCAAATCTACTAATACTAGAGGCCCAGTGCATGAAATGC